TCTCCAAAGATAATTCATTATATTTGTTACCCATCTCCAAAGATGCCCCACCATCTTTGTTACTTGTCTCCAAAGATAATTCATTATATTTGTTACCCATCTCCAAAGATGCCCCACCATCTTTGTTACTTGTCTCCAAAGATAATTCATTATATTTGTTGGCCATCTCCAAAGATGCACCACCATCTTTGTTACTTGTCTCCAAAGATAATTCATTATATTTGTTGCCCATCTCCAAAGATACCCCACCATCTTTGTTACTTGTTTCCAAAGATAATTCATTATATTTGTTTCCCATCTCCAAAGATGTCCACTATCATTGTCGCCCTTCTCCAAAGATACCCAACCTTCTTTTTTACCCATCTCCAAAGTTATTTCGTTAGATTTTCACCAAGGGTGATTATTGTTTTCTTACTTGAAATTTAACTTTTAAGATATAAGATGTACGTATAAAAGATAACCGATTTTAAACGGATAACAAAAGTGTGGTAAAGTATTTCTATCTCTTCCGACTAATAAAAATTACCAAGTTTCAAACAGAGTTTTGTCTGAGGACGTAAATAAAGGCCTAAGGTTAAAGCACTAGATTACATTAACAGTTTTTATGACATTTCTAGGTTTTGTTTTCGAAACATTCTCTAGTTTCATTAAAATAACTAAAACAGAAAACATAACCGCAAAGTTTAATTTTTTCAGCCCCTTGATTTATAAAATACCTCTCAGGGGTTCGCACAAGTTTTGAATCGAAATATTTAAAATAAGACAGTGGGATACGGTCAACATATCGATGAAAATATTTTACTAATTAATAATCTTACCTATTATCATCATCAGTACTGGGAGAATCGAGAAACACCCCAGAAATACTAATGAAGGTGCTAAATAGAAAGAAATATAAGACAATATATTTTAAAAATAGAGTAATTTTAGTATTTCAACATTATGTTTGTGGTTGTGAATAAAAAGTATTATAAACAACACATTGTCAATTCGTAACCACATTTTTAGTATTGACTGAGATAAAACAGTGACAACAATACACTGGAAAAATATTGTTACCAATAGGAGTTATCTAATTAAAGCATTCTGAGTGTTGATTGAGATAAAATAGTAACCACAATACACCGGAAAATATTGTTACCTCCAAGAATTATCTGATTCAAGCATTTTGAGGTTTGATTGGGATAAAACAGTAACAACAATACAGTGGAAAAATATTGTTACCTTCAAGAATTATCTGATTAAAGCATTATGAGGTTTGATTGAGATAAAACAGTAACCACAATACACTGAAAAAAATATTGTTACCTTCAAGAATAACTGATTAAAGCATTTTAAGGTTTGATTGAGATAAAACAGTAACAACAATACAGTGGAAAAATATTGTTACCACCAGGAATTATCATTGAATTGTTGATAAACATAAAAAAGTAACCACAGATTTAGTTTCCTTGGTTACATTATTTAAAAGTAACAGTCTTCATTTTGCACATAATTTTTTAGTATGCATCACAGTTTTAATTTTAGAAATAGGAGGGAATCCTCAATAGCTGCGGCTGTAATTAAATTTCAAATCGATTAAGAGATGGAGCTATGAGCTAAAATTTTGTACTTGAAAAACAAGAGGGAATCCTCAATGGCCGCGGCTGTAATTTGATCTCAAATCGGTCGAGAGGTATGGAGCTGTGAGCTAAAAATTTGTACTTGAAAAAACAAAAACAAAAAAACTCAGAGCCATTTAATCAGCCACTATGCCGCGGCTAAAAAAGTTCTGATCATCGTCCCATATATATAAAATGTTTTTGATAATATACCAGGGTTTAATGCGTAAGAAATATTCTGATTAGCAGTCAAAATTTCAAATGTTTTTACCAACATACAATAGATTTACTATTTTGAAAAGAACTATAAACTGATCATATTGCTTCCATTTTTTTCCTGACAATTCTGATTGATAGCAATGGAGATATATTTGTATTCATTACGCTTTATGTCTTTACTGAATAGACTTGAAAATTGTTCACTAGTTATTATTACTGCTTATAGGCCTGGAATGGCCTGGTGGTTACGGAGTGCTCGACTCGCAATCTGAGGGTCGTGAGTTCGAGTCCCCGTCACATCGAACAAGTTCGCCCTTTCAGCCGTGGGGGCGTTATAATAAAACGGTAAGTCCCACTATCAGTTGGTAAAAGAATACCTCGAGAGTTGGCGGTGGGTGGTATTGAGTAGCTGCCTTCCCTCTAGTTTATCACTGGTAAGTTAGGGATGGCTAGTGCAGATAGCTCTCGTGCAGCTTTGCGCGAAATTCAAAACAAACCAAACGAAATTACTGTTTACACAGAAACATGCAGAATGTACGCATGCAACAACATTCTGCCCCCCCCCCAGAGGCACAGCGGTATGTCTTTGGAGTTACAACGCTAGAAACCGTGTTTCGATACCCGTGATGCAATATTATTAACCTATATTTGTTACGCGATACTAAGATTTCCAATATTACTAACCCTCATTTGATACGCGATACTAGTTATGATTTCCAATATTATTAACCCAGTCTTGTTACGCGATACTAATTAATATTTCCAATATTGTTAACCCAGATATTTTTACACGGTATCAACTAAGATTCTTCATATATTTCATCCATATTCGTTTCCCCAAATTAATAAAACTAATGATATTGTTAACCCAGGTCTGTTACGCGATATCAAAGAATAACCGGCCATGTTGTTTATCCGCATTTATTATTTCATACAAACAAGAATCACGATATTGTTAACCCAGATGTGTAACCTGATACGAAGTAATAACACATGCGGATGCCTTGCTCCCTATCATTAAATTACTCGAATACCGTTAAAATTCATGTTCTAACACCTAATAAGAAACACAATATTTTGAACCCAACCTTGCTCCTTATCAACAAACTAGAATATTATTAACTCAAGGACGTGTTTAAATCTCTAATGATAACCACAACATTCTGAACCCAGCCTTGCTCCCTATCAACAAACTACAATATTATTAACTCAGGGACGTGTTTAAATCCCTAATGATAACCACAACATTTTTAACCCAGCTTTGCTCCCTATCAACAAACTATAACTACAATATTATTAACTCAGGGACGTGTTATAACACCTAATGATAACCACAATATTTTTAACCCAGCCTTGCTCCCTATCAACAAACTCTTTTACCAACGAATAGTGGGATTGACCGTCACTATATAACACCCTCCCGGCTGAAAGGGCGAGCATGTTTGGTGTGACTGGGATTCGAAACCGCGACCTTCAGGTTGCGAGTCGAGCGCCCTAGCCACCTGGTCAACATATCAGTTGATGATTGAACCGTCCTGGAGAATGAAATGGGCATACATGCGATCACATATAAAGATATACCAGTCAAGTCACTCACGGAATGGTGTGTGTGTGTGTGTGCTTGGAACACGGCAAGCCTTTACGATGGAGCCATTTGCAATGGAAATTTCTCTTTAGGGATATTAAAAAAGATTTACGGTTGAGAACGACCAGATGCAGCAACATGATCTATAACGAGGCTCCAAAGTCGTTTTAACATAATGTACTCAACTTCAACTGTGTATACATATACAAATTATTTTAAAGTGCATAGTAGCTACCCAGAGATTTTGCTGGATAAAACGTATGTTCAATGATTATTTTATAGGGCAGGGAGTGGCCTAATGGTTAATGTGTCTAGATATGTTAGATATACACAACTGTTTCTGGTTAATTATAGCCCGAGTGTTAAATTTTGTTATATTTAGAAAAGATAGTTTGGTTTGTTTATTTATGTAACCGTGTACGAATCATACGTTGTGTAGTTCAATTGTTGTGAGCTTGAGCTTGGTGTATTATTGCGTCATGTTACTAGGAACTTCTAAATTTTTCTCATTGTTTCAATTGGGTGTTATCGCATTATATTACTGCGTTGGTGTAGAACGTTCTAGGCTTCTATCAGTCTATAAATACGTGGACAAAATGTAGTTCAAGTTAGCTAGACAAAGATAGACAGTTAGTTAGATAGCTAGAGCTGGATTGTGTGTTTGTGAGTTTAGCTATAAAAAGCGTACAGTGACGCTTTTTTTAAGTGAAATTATCACAGATTGTATTGTAACAACAGAGTAGAGAATAATAATTTTTCCTGCCAGTTAAATTCTGAAGTAATTGAACAAACCTGTGTGTACTTTTGAGGAAAAGGGACAATTATTTAAAGCTCTGGATACAACATAGTAACTTAAGTGAACTTATCGACGATTATTTTGTAATAACGGAGCAGAGAAGAACAATTCGTCTTGTCAATTGTGTTCTAAATTAACTGAACCCGCCTGTGTGAACTTAGAGCTCTGGATACAACTGTGGTGATTAACTGTGTAACGTTTAACGAATATTTGTATATACATTTTAATTGTTTTAATGTATTATTTTCAAACAAGTGGACTGTGTGCTGTTTGTTCATTGTTGAGATTTATCGCCAACAAGTGACAGACACCTACTGTAAAGAATCCTGCCCATCCATGTATAAAATATGATAGGCCTGCTACGGACTGGTTGTCTCCAATTCTGTTACTATTTTTAAATTATGAATGGTTATACCTCAACTTTAGGGATATCTGACAGGCTGTGTAGTCCACGTGTTGCATAAAGTGTTGTTCAGGTTGAAAATAAATACCAGATAACAGGTTGAAAATATCAGAGGTTACAGGTTAAAATACCCTAGGTTATGGGTTTAAAGTACCAAACAAATATCAGAGGTTACAGGTTAAAATACCCTAGGTTATGGGTTTAAAGTACCAAACAAATATCAGAGATTACAGTTTGAAAATACCAAATAAATACCAGAGATTACAGTTTGAAAATACTAAATACCAGATATTACAGGATGAAAATACCAAATACATACAGGAGATTACTTGATAACAAAACGACTATTTGTGAAAAATAAAAATTTGGTTCATATTTAGCTTAGAAAGGTTATCATGCACGTTAATAAAGGCTCACAGAGCAATGACACAATATTATACATCTAAAATTAACTAAGGAATGATTGTTGTTACAAAATTCAGCTACTTGAGGCAGGTCTGTCCAGACTGTGAGACAAAAGACTTGATGGTAATGAATCAACTTTACACTCAACGAATCATCAGCTCATTCTCTTCACAAAACACACACCAGGTTTGAGTTTTATGCTTGCTATCTCTCGTGCTAATTTGTTTCTCTAACAATCGTACACAAAATTACTACATTTTGTTGCTGTAGCTTAGTAAAAAACGACAATTGATTTTCTTATCTATTATTTAAGAGAATAATAATATGTTAGCGTATTTAGAGATATATTTGGTAATGTCTGGGCAAACTTTGTTAATTAAAATATGTTGTAGGTTATTTTTTTTAGTAATAATGTTTGTATTGTTGTTTAGCCAGAGGGAGATATGAAATAATTTGATAGGCGTTGCTTAAAGTTAGTTACCTAGTTTTTTAAGGTAAAGCTACACAATGGGCTATCTGCGCTTTGTCCACAGCGAGGAATCAACCACTGGATGTTAGCACTATAAGTCGTAAACTTACCGCTGACCCACTGGGGGATGGTTTTTTAACGATCAGAACCTCCTTAAAAGTATATACAAAACGATTCCAGCCTATGAAACACGAGTTAGGCTAGAGTAGGTGAGACTGATTATTGAGTTAGCGAATCTGCTTGTCAATTTGTCTGTTACTGCGAGCCAGATAGTCAGTTAGTCCAGTTTTTTTGAAGTTGTTGTATTTGCATCTACTGTGAACTTAGGTTTATTGTTCAGTTGTCGTTAGTAAAGCTAACTTGTAGAGCTTGTAGTCAAATAAATATAACGCTTTCATTA